TATTTATAGCTAAGTAATTTTATTAACTATTAATAAAGTCTTAGACTAGAGGACTTATTCTAATTAACGAAGCTATTAGTTATTTCTATCCCTAGAGACGTTAGAATTAGATAACTAAAAGACCTAATACTAATATTCTTTATATATCTTTAATTATCTTTATTAGGTATACTTTTAAAGCTAGGCTTTTAACTATCTAGTAGTATCTCTGATAGTATATATAATAGCTTTATAATGTGGTAGAAGCTTTGGCAGGGTATAGATACGCGACATGTTAATTTAGTGTAGATTACTATGGGAGCGCCGAGTCTAGCGTCTAACTACTACTAGCTACACCACCAGCCTTAATCTGATCGACTGAATTTAGTCTTGAGGAGCGGTGTACTAATAATGTAACCCCTTGTAATATGCGGACTATTTCGACTTCGACTAGAGCTCGTGCTATAGCTGCTAATCTGTCGTTTAGTTGGTACGCGGGGGGGTATCTGGTGGACTGGCGGTTTTGGTGGTGAGTCTGGTGGTAGGGGAATCTGCGCCGGCGGCGAGTCTGCAGAGTGTGGTGGTGAACTCATAATAGCTTTTATATCATATTAGCGGAGATCACATGTTCAAGTGTGCTAAGAATGCGTACCTAATTAACGTGTTCGTTGCTGTCTTTAAAAGGAGGTTAAAGTTGTTAGGTTCTGTTGATGTCTTCACAGCAGATCAATCCTCTTTATATATCTCGCTCAAAGTAGTCACATGGTCTTGTGCCTTGTGTGTACCTAAGAAAGCAGGGTAGTGGCCTTCAAAACCGTGAATCAGGGCTGAAAAGTACGGATAGCTGCGTGGTGAGTGTTTAGGCAGAAATGTTGCTCACATTGCAGAGGCAGGTGATACGAAAATATATGACAGTGTTAGGTCTATAGATAGCGGTTTACAGTCGCTATCAAGCCTTCTGTAGATGTGTTTAGTGAGGTAAGGCGAGGACATAAGGCGAAGACGCGAGGAGACGCAAGGCTAGAAGTGGAGTGAAAAGTGAGGCGGAAGAATGCTAACGTGTAAGACACACGGGCGGGAAGTCAAATGTCGGCGAGTAGCAGCGGCGGCAAGGCGGGCCGCTCCGGTCGCGAGTAAGGTGGCAAGGTGATTGGCTAACTCGAGGAGGGGGGAGCGCGTTTGTGGACACAGGTTGCATAACCTATCGATATAACTAATAATAACCTGATGCTAATTTATAGATAGAATTCAAGGGTTCTAGCAGCAGCTGAAATGTGTTAGGCATAGAATTATCTGGTAGCCCTGACACGTATCGCTGGCCTTGATATATCGACCGACTGACACATTTCGTAATAGATAGAGGTCAGTAGCCAGCAACTGCCGAAGAGCATGAGGGGGGCACCGTGGCCAGCAGCCAGTAGGCAGCGGGCAGTAGTCTATCCTGTCTTCTACCAACAATCCCATCAATAATCCCATCAACAAGTCCGTTGGTAAGCCTATCAACCAACCAACCAGTCAAGACTTTTTACTGTGTTATGCGTACCTCGAAAATTCTTCAATAAACAACTCAACTCAAGCATTAGGCAACTAGCCTTGATTCTATCTCATCAAATATTCGAGTTAAAGAATGCAACCTGCACAGTGATATCATCTCGTACACGCCGGGAAAAGGGAGGGCTGAAGGCTAGCCGGCCTGCTATCAAGTCAAAATGGTTTCCGCCAAGGCAGTTACGCGTGAGGTGCACGGCGGCGTTGTCATCTTGATTTGTCGTTCTACCCTTGACAAATTTCCAGTTCACTCCCTTCCAAAATTGACCAAAATCGAATGGTTCGTAAATTGCCTCGCGTTTGCTGTTGCTGTCCCCTGGCACCCGTGAATCCACCCACTGGCCCACCAGATCGACAGCCTGCTGACTGGAGAGCATATCCCACAGGCCGTCTGTCGCCATGATCAAGAACGTTTGTCTGCTGGAATCGATCTCAGTGGTTGTCACAACAGGCTCGGCGGTTAGATATGGAGGAGTTCGAAAGTCGTCCGTCGGGGTTAAGGGCGGTATACCGTAAAATTTCCGCACCGCGTCGAGCTGAAAGTCCAAAGGCAACTTCCACCGACCATCGCCAAAAGCTCGAGAGACCATCATCCCTAAAACGCGGCCATTTTTGACAATGTTTTCTTCGCCCGGGTGCTCCTTGTTGAGCCTGGCAATTTCTTCCTTGTTGCTACCGGTTTGATCCACCGACAACGGTATCGCTTCCCACTTGCCGTTTGCCCCCTTTCGTCCCAAAACTGCTCTGGAATCTCCAGTGCATGCCACATGCAAATTGCTTGTGACAGGATCATATAATGATAGCAGAGCACATGAACCGGCATAAACTGGAGCCAGTTTCTTAATCTTGTCTTGCAGCGGTTCCTTGCTCTGAGCCGTGGCCAGAGCTGTGTTGATGATAGAATCGTCGAGATTAACAAACGCCGCGGTAATAGCGCGCCGGATAGCTTCGTCAGGTACGGATCCTCCGCGCAATGCTGACTTGACCTGGCCTAAGCTATGTCGTACATGGGGTAGGAGTTGCTTCTCTAGTAAGTCTGCAGTTTGCCAACCTGCATGTCCGTCGAAAACAGCCCAGGCCATCCACTGGTTGCTATCATTCCATGGCGAAGGGAATTTGCCATGGATGAAACGATCCTCACACAGGGGGTTGGAGCCAAGTTGAGTGCCATCGTATCTGTTGACCCCGGGAACGCTTTTGACGCGAAAAGAATATGCACCTTGCGATATCATACGAGTTACCTGATCTCTAGAAGGGCCCGGCTCACTGGAGAGATGCTGGGTGGGCGGGCTCTCTAGACTTGGTGCATCCTCGCGGGTAGTTATCAACCACCAAAGGCATGGCGTGGCGACGACACCGGCAATTGCAGTGTATCTCAAACCCTTGTTGATACCCGGAGCCAAAGGTGAGAGGTTCTTCGAGGCGAACTTCCTGAGCTGCCTCTGCAAAGTTACGCTGCTGTACGTGCGAGTTAGGACCACGCGCCGAGGAAACATAGTGCCCGAGTGTGGCTGAGGGAAAAAAGCCCAGTAGAAGGCTTGCAATGTCTTTCTTATTCCCTAGTTTGATACCGAGGACGAGAAATTGAGTGGCCGCTGTATTTGACTAATGTTGACATGTAGCCTGAAGGATGAAAAGGAGTGAATAAAACATATTATCTTGTAGCCAGTCGGGCTACCTGGCACGTGGTACACATTTTCCGCAGAACGGTGGGCGCGGATGTACAGCCTGTAGGTGCTCTATACAGGGAAGCTCTGCTAGATTGACAGTTTAGGTGTGCAATTAAACTACGCGCTAAAATCCTGTTTTTCTTTAAAAGAATAAGCATTATAACACAGTCATAAAACAAACAACAGTTAATAAATTGGTGGTAGAGCTTTCCTGGCCCACTCATAGGCGCGCATCTTCCACGGCTGACCCTACGTCACGGCACCTGGGCCCACCTTGCTCAACGACAATCCGGCAGCTCTAGTCTTTCGCATCAACAGCTTCCTCGTCTGCTTATCGTCGCAACCACCAGCGACAAAGGGAAATGGCTGCCTGCGCCGTGCTGCAGCCGCCTCCTTAACCCCCTGGTGCTTTTCTCTGGCGTCACGTCTTGCGGACACCATGTCCCTAAACATCTGGCCACCCATCTCCCCTGAAGAGCTCAAGGTTCAAATAGCAGAAACCTTGGTACGTTTTTACCTTGATATTTATCTATTTTTGCACCTGCCACTTCATTCCTCTCTTCCACCATGCTAATTAGACTGCAGAAGAATGAACTCGAATGGATAACGACCGAAAGCCTCGAGGTCTGCCGCGACCTCAAGCACGGCCTCGAAGACTGCTATGCGCTGCTCGCGCCCATTGACCCGGGTAGCACGCTCGTCATGAGCACACCGCGCAACGAAAAGGTCAAGGGGACGATTACCCGCGTGGGAACCCGCATCGTCAAGGGCGTAAGTCTGCAAGCCCCCACCCCCGCGCGGAGACCCCCCTCTTCCAATCGACAGCACCAGTTTGCTAAACTCCTGCCCAGACCTTGAACCTCCAGCTTCGAACCACGTCGACCACGTCCCTCACCATCGCCCCCCACCAACCCATTTACATTCCCGCCCTCGAGTCGCTCTACACGCACCTCACCCAGGCCGTAACCCTCCTCGACGTGACGCTGAGCCAAGAGCGGTCGCCCGACGCCGCGACGCTCGCCTCCTCCCTCACCCTCCTCGCCGAGTCGCTCGACCAGGCCACCGCGCTGCTCAAGGGCCGACCCCTCACCGAAACCGACCCGACGTGGCAGACGAGCTCTTGCCCCGCGCAGCACTTTACCGCGGCGACGACGACGAGCAGCACCGGCGGAGGCACCAGCACCGTCGGCGGTGTCGGCGCATTCGCAGCCAGCTTCTCCACTGGCGGCAGCAGCGTCAACAACCCCATCAGCTTCCACATTGGCATACAGGAGAGCTGTGTCGTGCTCTGGCTGCGCGTGCTGGAGCCCGTGAGCGCCCCGGTGCACTTTGGCGTCAAGCTCGGCCTCGCGATTGGCACGGTGCGTCGCTTAGAGCACGACGAAATGGACACCGTATTCAAATACAATCCATCCGGCGACGACTCAACACTCGGCCATAAAAAGGGCAACAGCGGTGGGGGAAGTGGCCCTGTCCTGTCTGGAAAACGCAGTGAGAATGCCAAAACAGGCCCCGAAGAAGTCCATGTTCGTGAAAAGGTCCGTGTTGTCAGTGCTGACCCGTCATTAATATCCTTATTCTCAAAACTTGGCTTCCTCGGCCATGTTTTGGGACAGACACGCCGCAACCTAGCTGCGGTACTCGAGAGCTTCCCACAAAACTAGCACAAAGGCCATGAACATATAATACCAAATAGATCACGCAATCTTCACATTGATCGATCAAATAGGGCCTCTATAATGTGCATATGCTATTGAATGCCATGCCGCTAACGAACGACGTACCAAATTGCTGTTATACATGTTCCCCCAAAAAAAACCAATACGAGAATAAACTGGCCAAACGCACAGAGCCCGTCTAAGCCCAGGTGTGGCTCTCCGATTGGAAGTAGTAGACTTGATTCTTTGACAAAGGAAAGTAAATGCCCTGGCGGCTAAGAGGTTGCTTCATCTATATGTGTGTAGATAGAAGAGTCAAACTGCTGTGGGTGCAATCAGGCCACGGGAGACCACGGCATGGGAATCAAAATGCGAGACTGCATGTTCTGGATCAGCGGCACAGTCTTGTGCACAGTGTCGCTCCAGCCCTCAACGGACCAGCTCTTCTCTCGGCGGGCGCGGCGCTCCTCCAAGTTGGCAAACTGCCAGAGGTGATGGACAGTGTTGAGATCACCAATCTGAACAAACCAGGCACCGACACCCTCCATGACCTCACGGCGAGCCTTGAGGCCGCGTCTCCAGTGAGTCTCCCACTCAAGCAGGTTGCCGGGATGCAGCGTGTAGGATCGAAGCTCAAAGACACCACCAAGTTGTCTGGGAGGAGTTGTCGGCCAAAAGGAGAATTCTTGCATGAGGTCAATCTTCTTGGAGTCGATGAGCTTGTGAAGCTTTCTGTTGTTCTCTGCGAATTCGGGGTGGTTGCAAATGGAGTGGCGAGACTGATGGTAACCCTCATACTTCTGATACTCCCAAATGTGAACTATACCACTCGTTAGCTACTGCTGCTTCACAATGTCCTGAATCAGCGTACTGAATGTGTCACAGTCTCCAATCTCCGTCCTCCAGCTCCCTACGAGATGAACCTTATTCTCGGGTCTGTTGGCAATGGTAGGATACCAGTTGCCGACAAGATCGACGTACTCGTCAACCTTGTCGGGCTTGACACGGTGGAAAACTATCGAGTGGACGTATTTTCCACGAGCTAGAACCTGACTGAAGCTAGCCTCGAGCTGCGCCTCCATCTCGCGACCCTCCTTCGTGCCGTAGATGAGGTTGGACAGCGGTCCCGTCTTCTTGTCGGACGTGGGCTTGGTAGCGGCGGCGAAGGCTCCTGCAGAGGTCTCAGGTGAGCTGTCTGCGGACGAGGCAGACTCTTGGGGATGTTTATGGGCATCAAACGCACGAGCTCCTTGTTCTTTCTGTGCCTGGGCCAAATTCTCTCGGAACCTCTTCTGCTTCTCATTGAATGCCTCGACGGAGGACTTGGCCGGGTCAATGTCGCCCATGCTGGGAGTCTTGGACCTCATCACAGTCGTTGTGCTCATGGCCCGGGCGCCGGAGCGCGCCGCAGCAGCTGCTGCCAGAGCTGGGCGAGAGAGCCGACTGGGAAGCATGATTGATGGCGTTTTGACAAAAGGTGTGAAACCCAGAGAGTGTCACAACACTGCAAACGGGCTGACGGACTCGAAGGCGTTCGATAGGGCGGCTTAGTCTAGCACGTCCTAATAAATCGAAGCAAAACGAGACGAGACAGACAGTAGCGGAGAAGAGAGGCAGAGCGAGGGAGCGAGAGAGGCAGCACACAGAGAAGCTAGGAAGGAGCCGTGGTTTGACAGCTAGGGTCGATGGAGGGTTGTTCCTGCCGGTGATTGGGTGTGGTAGAAGAGGAGGTTGCAGTCGATAAATGATGGCTGTCACCCCGCACTTTGTATTGCAGAAGTAGCGTCAGGACGTGTCGCGCAGTATGCGAAGGGATGGTGTGTTAGATGGTGCGGTAATGGCTGCCTTCTTATTGCTTGGGAGGTGCAGGAGCTTGCTGTGAGCAAGGTACGCTGGTATTACTACTGCCATGACTACTAGTCTGATGCCTCCGCATTCTGGGTGGAGCTTGTTTGCCCCTCTGGCTGAGCTGTCTGGCTAGCCAGTAGCCACTCACGTACGCCGTTAGATACCCACTTGGAACATGGCTGGGTTGCGGCTTTGACCACGGCCTCACGTGAGCTGACGCTGACTTCTCGGTCTGCCTGTTCTTCGGCCGGAGAAACACGTACCGCCGACTTCCGAAGTTCCCCCCTGCCTCAGGCCCCGACCTCTGATTCGACGAACGCCAGGCCTGTAGGAGCTTTGCTAAAGGTAGACGAAAAAGGCTCGTTTTAATTCAACGTCCAAACAACCACTCAACCCTCCCCGTCCGCCACATATACCATCGCAACCGTCATCATGTCTTGGCTCGGCGTCACTCCTCTCAAGAAGTTCCCGGCTCCTTTCCGTACGTCAATTCCGTTCCGTCAATCGCGCCGTCCACCGCTACCTGACCCCCGAACGATGCCGAGTGTTCTTTGCTAACGACCATTAATTCACAGTGAAGCCCTACTGGCCCTTCTTCGTTGCCGGTACGTAGTGCGCAAATGCAAACTCGAAGTCGACGACAGTTCCTATCGCGACTCGGCGAATCAATTGCGAAAAAGAGACATTCAATGCGGCTCGGGAATTCGTCCGCAATCGAGGCTGAACATGCTAACTCGACCTGCAGGTGCGGTCATTGCCTACGGCGCCAACTCTGCCCAGAACTCCATGATGGCCTGTACGTCATACTCAAACGCAACCTTTGCTCGACCTGGGAACGAATTGCTGACTGGATTCTAGCCGACCAGTGGAAGAACGACCCTCGTAACCCCAACGCCAAGACTGCTGGCGGCCATTAAAAATATCATAAACGGAGAGGAGGAAGCAAACGGTAACGAGAGGACGACCACATCGACCGGATGCAGCGTATGCAGCCACAACCAACCCGTCGGATTGTACCATAGACTCGCATATCGGGCATAATAGACCCTTTGTAATCGACCATCAACGACCACGTGTGACCTCCCTTTTTCTTTACTCTTCTGCAAGAAGCTTTTAGGAGAACATGAAGAACTCGCTGCACGAAACTGTTGTCTCATTCCTTAGGACGCGTGTCTTCTATAGCCTAGCATGGCATTCTTGGAGTGATATAATTGGCCTCTCCTGACTACTTCTAGCGGGGGACATATTGCCGAAGCACGCATCTATATATATAGTATTCATAGCTGATTTTTACTCGATTCTGGCATGAGACTATGCCCCTACTTTCTGGAGAGGTTTTGTCGTGACCTAGAGACTAAAGCTGATACGGCGTATGACGCTCGCCGGAACCCACTCGGACATAACCTAGAGGGCTATATACGCTATCTACTGACGACATCTCACTCAAACAACTCACATTCCGCCTCTCCAACCCTCGCGCATTCATACCATCTTTTCGCATTCGTACGTTCTTTTCACCGATTTGCTATCCCAGTTCATGAACAGTACTTTTCGCTCCCTGCCTTTATTGCAATTTCGTGTTGCGCTTCTCAGAAACTCACATCAGCCAACGACCGTCACCATCCGCACCATGTCTGCAAGCACCAACGGCGCCGCGAGGGCGCCTACAAAGCCGAGCGCGCCTGAAAAGAAACCAGTCAAGATTCTCATGATTCACGGTCCGCCCCCTCAACCCCCGTCCCTCCCCGTGTCCAGCAACTCGTTCGCCTGACCCATCCCACCACCACCCAGGCTTCACGCAAAACGGCCCTCTGTTCCGGGCCAAGACGCGCGCGCTAGAAAAGACGCTCACCAAGCTCCTCGCGCCCGTCTCCCTCACGCCGCAGCTGCTGTACCCTACGGGCCCGATTCGGCTCAAGGCGAGCGACATGCCCTTTTACGAGCCGCCCTCCGATGCGGCCGAGCAGGAGCCCGAGACGTGGGCGTGGTGGCGGCGCAACGACGCTACGGGCCAGTACACCGGCATCGACCGTGGGATGACGACGCTGGCGGACGCCATTCGCGAGGCCGGCGGCGTCGACGGCGTCGTGGGATTTAGTCAGGGCGGCTGCGCGGCGGGCGTCGTCGCGGCAGCACTCGAGAGCGAGCGCCGGCCGTTGCCCGACCCGGCGGCGGGCGGCGTCGACGAGGACACCGCGGCGTGGGTCGCGGCGCTGCGCGCGGCCAACGGTGGGCGACCGCTCAAGTTTTGCGTCGTCTACTCGGGGTTCCGCGCCGCCGATCCGGACGTGGGCTGGCTGTTTGAGCCCAAAGTTGCGACGCCGACGCTGCACATCCTCGGCAGCCTTGACACCTCCGTGGACGAGGCCAGAAGCCAGACGCTGATTCAGGTCTGCGAGGACCCGCTGGTCGTCACTCATCCAGGCGGTCATCATGTGCCCGTTGCTAGAGAATGGATCATGCCCTTGGCTGGCTTCATCAAGCAGCACGTATACGACAAAGAAGTCAAGGCAGAGCTGTAGTGCCACCTATAAAGCACAAAAACAATGACATAGACGGATATAGACCACTTTAGACCATCAATGATCTCTGTCTCAACAGCATTACACGTTCAGATTGCTTAATATCTTCCGCTTGCCGTTCTTCCTCTATATTTCGGCTATCTGTACAATTACACCGTATAGACCTTCCCCCTTCCTCTTCAAAGTACTCTATTTTGCGCTTGTGGGTTGGATGCGCGCCATCATTTCCTCCTTGGTGATAAGGTGGTCAATTCTCTCCAGCAAGCCGAGCAGGCTCTTCATATTATGGCTCCATTCGTTCAACACATCGTCTGCATCCCTAGGCTTAGAGAAGCTGACAATCCGCGCTGGACGATCGATTCTTGCGTATACCGTCTTCAAAGTGACCAGCTCGCTGATGTACTTTTCCGTCTCATCTTCTGTGAGATCGAGGAGCGTAGTAAGGCGACCCATCTGGATACGGGTGTAGTACTTGGCCACTACGCGAACATTGTGCTCAATGACGCGTTTGCGAAGATCTTGCCAGCGCTGATGCGCCTTTTCGTCTGAAGAGCCGGCTTTGGCGTCAAAAACATCGGTGCTGCACAGGTGCGGGCCAAACTTCTTTGCAACCTCGGGCCAGCGCATCAACTCGTGAATGGTAAAAAGTTGTAGAAGCTCAGCATCCAAAGACACTTGGGAGTTGCGCGAGTCTTTGTGAATACGATGCAGAAGGTCGTGTTGCTCATTATCATATGGGGCCAGAATAACAAAGTAGATGATTCGTTGCAAGACCTGTTGCATATCAGCGGCGGCATTGAGAGTAAGCATCAAATTGTAGACTTACAGGGTGAAGCTTGGACGAATCCTCCTCAACAGCTTCCGTATCAAGAACCTGTCTGTAGTGTTTGCAGACCTCTAGGTATTTGTCCTCATGCTTGGCCAACATGATTTGCTGCTCATAGTAACGGAGCTTGAGATCGGTGGTGTCATCCTCCTTCTCCTCGGGAACCTCCTCGCCGCGAGCCTTCTTCTTCTCACGCTCCTTGGCCTCCTTCTCGAGCTGCTCGTCAGTCTTCTTGGGTTTACGCGAGAGGTACTTTGTGCTGATCTTGCGGCCAAGGATACCGGCTTGGGTCCAGTCGCCGCTCTCGATGCAGAGCGCGACCTGAGCAAGAATGAATTCCGTCTTTTCCCTACGATCCATGGAGCCAAAGGTCTCGACCTGCAACTCGCACAAGACCTCGGTGGCTGCCTTGAGATCGCCCTGCTCCTTCTTGATATCGGAAAGGATCCTGGTGACGCGAGCGCGTTCGACTTCGACAAAGATCTTGCCCTCGGTGACAGTTCTTAGGGTCTCGATAACGGAGAGCTTCGTGGTCAGGTCGGGGGTATCGTCGAGAAAGCCGACAACGGTTTGCACCATCTTGGTGATGGCCTGCTTGAGTTGGCTGTGCTTCTTGGAAAGCACGAGCGTCTGCTCGTTCAGCAAGCTCCAGTCGCCCGCATTCTTGCATAATGTCACGATGGCAATTAGAACTCGTGATGTTGAGGCCAAATCGGAAGCCTGTTTTTCTCATTAGCGGTTAAGCTCAGCGTCGCCACCTCATCCATTCGTACCTGGCGTGTTTGTTTCTCGAGGGCGGCGAGCTTCTCGATGGCACCTTGGAGGTTGCTCTGTCATTGAGATCAGCACATGGGTATAATACAGTTTCGATGTTATCTTAGCGACTAACGGCAGCGAGCTTCTCGGCTTGTGGAAGCTGCTCATCGACCTCTTTGGAGAAGTCCTTCTCCGGCTTCAAGGTTCCCTCGGACATGTTTGCGGCGCTGGGGTGCAAGCGCGGAGTGTCGCGTGGTGATATCGAAGCTGTTATCTAGAAAAAGATAAACTGGAGATGTGATTGTCGCAGATTGGCCAAGTGATGCTGTTGCTGAGTGAGCGGGCCAGGATTTGTAACTGTTTGAAGCTCGATGATGCTCTTGGTTCACTGCTGCATCTTGGGAGCCCACCACGCAATAGGCGCCTGCCTGTCAGCCTGGCGCACCCACCGCAGACAGAGAGCTGCTGCGGGACCAACTATTAATCCGGTGGAAGCATCTGGCCAGAGAGTCACGTGCGCTAATGGTTCGAAAATACCATGTTTAGGCAATTGGAAGCAGGAAAGGTTCCGGGCCAATAATTTTTAACATGTCAATGAATGATTCCGACATATCAATCCGGATTTTCGATTCGCGGATTGAGCACTGGTGGTTGGTGTCGGAGATTGCATTTGCTCGTAGGTTTCGGCCGCAGCTGGCACAACATTCTGCCTAATGTTGGTCTCACTGGACCATTCGAGAGCCTTCTCAACCACTCACATCTGATGAGAGCGGCATAAATCGCTTTAAATTCTTCAGTGGGAGGCTATTTACTTTGATCCAGTTTGTCTAATATTTTCAACTTTTTGTAAACCGTCTATATATTTATGCAGCGGGCTCGGCCGCAGTTGACACGTCGCCAGCCACCTTCGTCCTTGTGGCACCACCCTCAGCTGGCTGACCATCGGCGGCGGGCTTGGGGCGGCCGGGGAAGCGGGTTCCCTTGTCCTTAACCTTCTTCACCTTCTTCTCGGGTGGAGGGTAGGCCTTGAGAGTAATGTCTTTCCACTCCTGCGAATTTTCGAAAGCGTTGCGAATGGGCGCGGTTAGATCGACAAGGGCCTGGGCAACGGCAGGCTTGAGAGCTTGGGGAGTAAGCTGCAATCGACGCATGTTAGCGGCTATTCCGCCTGACGGGTAAGGTCAGATGAAGGACAAACCTTGTCATTCTTGAAATCCTCGTGCATCTGTTCGATGCTGGTGTAGACGAGAGGAGTGTCGTCGCGGCGAGGGACGGTAAACTCCTTCTTGCCTCTGAGGGCGGCAGCAGGAAGCAGCACAAACTCGGTGAAGGCGAGAACACCGTTACCTTCTACAACCGTGGGGGCGCACTCGGCCTTGCTAATCTTCTTTCGAATGGCATCCTCGGTGTCGAGCAGGTCAATCTTGCTGTCTAAAAGTGGTGTTAGCTAGCCATTTCAGGGTGCGTTGAGTTTCTGTATCAACATACTGGGGTCGCTGGAGCTCATCTTGGCACCCTGGAGACCAGGGACCAGCGGGTTCATTAAGTGAGCACGCTCTCTGTATCCAAGCTTGGGCAGCCACTCCTTGGCGGCGATGAACAACTTCCTTTGGTCCATGCCTACAAAAATTAGCACGGGTCCATCGCAGTACTCGGAAGTAAATTCGTTGATGCCATACCTCCAAACTGTGCATCGACGTCTAGGTACTGCTCGTCGAGAATCTGCAACACGGGGTAGAGAAGACCACTCAGTGGGGGGTTGGCCGACTGCTTGACCGTCTCCGACCCCGCGCGGCGGGCATCGTGCTCCGACACGACCGAGGCCATGCGGTACACGTCCATCACGTAGTCGGATGTCTTTTGGTAGGAGCTACCGAGTACAAACTTGAGCTTGTCGGTGGGGATGCCCACGGCCTCAAGAATGGCCGTGATCATGAAGCGGTAGTACTGTGCGCGCTGCTCCACCATTTCGATCGGCGCCTTGAGGTTGTCAAGGAAGGCGTGGATATCGGCGAGGAGGATCGTCATCTCGCAGCCAGCGGCAAGGAGCTGAGCAATCTTGATGGCCGGTACAAAGTATCCGCAGTGAGGCGGCGCGGTGGTGGCCGTGCCTACAGACCATGCCCGTCAGCGCTTCCGGAAAAAAAGGGTCAATGAACAGGGAATTGAACAAATCACTACTTCGTACCCCAGTAGATCTTTGGGTTGCGGCCTTCATCGAGAATTTTTTCGATAATCTCTTGGTTCAGCACCTCGGCCAGGTTCTCTTTGATCAGCGCTAGGCGTTCGTCCTTTGTTTGTGTGGTGGTCGCCATGATTTCGGCAGTCGAATTGTGCAGCTCCTTATAGATGGCAGAGGGAAAAAATTTCGTAGCGAGAAAGATGCAGTCTTTCGCTGGGGGGGTGTTCAGTTTCGTCACTTACCGCGACTCGTTCGCCTGAGTTTGTGAGTCAGTAACCCTTGGAGGGGCACTCTTCGGAGGGGTCGAATGTGGCGGGGCCGAACAGTAGAGTCCCCACGTCAAGCCGCCACCTACCTATCTTGAATAAGTGCATCAGATAGATCTGCTGCTGATGAAGGCGGGCATCCTCGTATCGCTGCTTTTGGTCTTTTTAAACCATGACGACTATTTCTTCGACTAGTGCCCAATTACTAATTGATTTATACGTCAAACAGCACGAAGTATTGCTATCCAATAAGCTGGCGTGACTAGAGTCGGTCACTATAACCCAAGAATATTACATATATCCAAAGTCCAGATACAATTCGCTTCCTATATACTATTCTACAACGTTGAAATATATTACCGCACACTCGGGGACCCATAGCTCTTTCAGCTGAAATCACATCTCTTCACCAAGCCCACTGTCCCATATAGATTAGGGTGACAAATAGGAGTCGGGCCCCTCCGATTCCCAGCCGTGCCAAAATTTACAGTCAAAGAGACAAAAAAAAACTTTTGTCAGGCCCCGGAGTGCCTTGTTGCGCGATCAACGCTTCTATGGCAAGATTAAAAACGACATTGAGGAAGAAAGTAAGTAGTAAGAACAGGTCAAAGCCCACAGAAACTATGGTCTTGTTCGCACAAATCGTACAGCGGAGTCGGCGAGGGCTTTCTTATGTGCCGCCCTTCGCTCTGCCATTTGAGAGCTCTCTGACACGACCGTGTCTTCAGAGTCTGCGGTAGAGAAAGTCGTGGTGGTAAAGGGCCAGCTATCCTGCTTTGTTAATGCATCGTCTGTTGGCTCGAGCTCCTCCACTGTCATGGTGGAATCGACGGAGCCGTGCCGATTGGCATGTCTTGTTGACATGATAAAGGCTTCCTCGGCTTCATTTTCTGACGCCGAAGCGGCGCGTCGTCTGGCGGCTCGTGCCATCTCTTCTTTTTGACGCTTCGCCTTTCGGCGTTTTCTGTATAGCAGGCATGTGGTCACGCACACAAAGTACAGAAACAGGAGCAAGCATACCGGCACAAGAAACGGTGCGGCCCAAGCAAAACTGCGAACTTTCTGGCGTTATCAGTTAGTAATGGTAGCAGCCTTGAGCAGTGTATGATGGAGTATGAATACCGGTTGCTTTGCAGTCCAAGACGGCGAAATAGCGAAGCTTGCGTTGGGTCCACGATCACTTGCCAGCCAAAATGAGAACAGATCATCTCCTAAACTCTCGGGTTTCCAAATGCAGTATGTCGGTTGAAGGCAGTCTGTGACATGGTATCAGTCTCTAGCTTAGCAGAGGAGAATGTGTCTCGAAAAACTAAACATTGTGGGTAGGGGGGGATGTCACTTCGCCCATTGCACAAGCAAGATAGGACCTGCGAGCAAAGATAGAGGTCTATCAAGGGGGCGACACTCCGTGATGTCGAGCTGGAAAAGAAGTATCACACTCACTCGTGATGTTTTGAGCCACCTCATACACGACTACACCTTCGCTCGGGTAGGTAACCTTGAACAGGCTCAATGCGCCCTTTTTGGCATCGATTGTCTGGTTCCAACGCAAAGTAAAGTCTTTTCCATTGGCAATTGTATTGTTCCAAACATCATTCGTGAAGTGCAAGCCATGTTCTTGCGCGTCAAAATCAGCTATTGGCCAAGGAAGGCCAGCCATCGAGTGGAAGCCGCTCCCAGGCGGGGAGGGAACCTGTTGGCTTGGCACTGATACTCTTGCCGAAGATAGCAGATGCTGTCCACAGGCTTTCGATAATCTTTTCGACCCGCAAATAAAAGTAGGGAAGCAGGACCGGCACCATTAAGTAGTAATTAGCACACGATGTTGGGGTCCACGCTAGAATGCCTCGATGGCTGCAAGGTCTCACCCGGCAAGGGAGATGACCGAGTGCGGGCTGTTGCCACCGAATCACTTGGGGTAACGAGGCTACGGCTTCAGAGACAGCGCCACCGTATTAGAGTCCGCGTGGCCAAGAATCGTAACACGGGAACTTGGAGCTCTGCGTGCGGGCAGCCTGTTTGTGATCTTCACGATGGCCTCGTCGGCTCGTAGTGCGATGGCCTTCTCTGGGCAGCGTGCCACGGCGTGGGTTAGCATTCCCACGCTTGACCTCCGTCGTCCAATGGTACCCAGCCCTTGGGAAATACTCTTGGATCCGGATATGCTTGCGTGTGATGCAAGCAGCTGATATGAGAGATACGACGGCTAGCGGCTGAGGATGATGAGCCAGTTTACCTGTCAAGAAGACGAATTGAGCACTCAATAAGGTTCTGGCTGTTGCTAGACGTTGGTCGCCGTCCAAGAGCTGAATCATACTGCCTCTTTGTCATACAAGTATCATTGAAGCAGGCGGTCACATCTTTATCCTCGCCCATGTACGCACCTCCACGTTGGGAATGTGCAGCGGCGAAGGCCTTTGAGCTGTCTCCCAGGCTGGCCAAGCCCAAGTGGAGATGATGAGCGTCGAGCTGCCGACCATCGGCATCACAAACGGAATAGAGTGTCTTGAAGGTGTTGTGTCAACAAGCCGTTATGCAATCATTGCATTCCAGCTTTTGTAAAGGTCGCGCCCTCGTGAGACAGGCAGGAGAGAACTGGTTACCTTTCGGCTGCACCGGGAACAAATGCTGGTCATGTATTGCTCGTCAAAATGATGAATGCAGCTACATCAAGAAGTGACTCTGCCCTTATGAATGCAGACAATCGCTTTAGAGGCTGTAATTATATGTCATTGTATGTTGGCCACAAGGGTGTTGGTTATCTAAAGGTGCGAATACAGTAGATACACTGTACGAGCACACTGTACCGCAAGAGCGACGCGCGTGGAGAAGTCGCGAGTCTATGCAGCTCCAACCTGCAGAGCGCCAAAATCCAACACAAACAACTTCACCAGAGAAACTACTTGGCGATCCAAATCGGCGGACCATCGTATAGCACTCCAAAGAGGGATTCGTTTTCTCGTCATCATTCGGCAAACGAATTCAGCTTGCCAACCCGGAAATTGGAAGACAGCACAAGGTCCCCGCATTCTCGATAAACGCCATCTTGTCTGCACCGTTAGCTCCATCCCACAACAATCCTGAGAAACTACAGGCTTTCGGTTTCACCATCCCACAAGGAGACGAAAGACGAATAAAGGTCTCACCTTGCTGCATACCAAGGCGCCTCACCCCAATTTAAAATAAAGAAACAAATCTACTCCCGCCACTGCTGCATTTGGTGGGCCGCCAGCTTTTGTGCTCTGTTCACGATGGCCTCGTCCGCGTCGTACGCCGACTGCGTCTCATCGCTACGAACGTCTCTCAAATTCCTTGAATCTGCTGTTGAGACGCTCGACGAGGGTGTCTCTGACTTTCCGCGCCTCATCAAAGTCCTAAAGTCAGTCCGGGTATGTATATACAGGATGTTGTTTTCACGATGGCTTCTCGAGTCTCCGTGTCAGGTGTCTCTGGCCACTCTCCCACACATTTCACGAGGGTTGGGATTTGCTTGCCCCTCCCTCCCCGTGATTCCAGGCCTTGTCCCCTTCATGTCGCGCCCCCACCGTTCTTTCACCTGTCAAGTTGCCACGGATCTTGAGCATTGCTGACGCATTGAAACATAGCATTACGAGCTTGTTCCTCAGCCGAAGCTAGCAGCTGCAGAGGCATCTTTGCGAGATGAGATTGGCCCCTATATTGCCTATTTGCTCTCCCGTGCAGATGCGCAGACGGAGCGGCAAGAGCGTCGCATAGAATCGCTCAAGGCCCGATCTGATCTACAGCAAGGCCGTATCACAAAGTCTGACGCCAGCTCTGCGGCAGCGGCGCGACAAAGGAAGAGTCGTCTTTTGAGCTCCGAGGGCAAGCTGCGCGCGCGAGCTATTCGACAGCGCAAGGAAGCGCTTCGGTACGGCGTGGAACGTCTTGAGCTGGAAGTGCTACAGAAAGAGAGGGAGTTAAGGAGGCGACTGGAGGGCTAAACGATCAGAGCACAAGATGTTTTATCCATTATCACCACGACCCTCACAGTCCTGTTGGAGTTGCGTCTCCACCAGCGCGCTTCAGTGATGCCTTGCAATCTGGTTGACGGCATTCGCTGACGCGGGTAAATACTTGATCGGAAGTTGGACATGCAACGTGTGCCGGCCGTGCGAGACGCAGCCGTAGCGCGATGCTTTGTCGCAATGCGCTTGTAAGTGCTCTGACGACGTACCACTACAGCGCCGACAGACAATGAGTCTGTCGACGAGACCATGATGGCATCTCGCGTCATGACTCAGCTGGATTTTTGTGGCGGCAAGAGAGTGGGCTCAAGGAAGGCTTGGGCCGCGTTTCAGGAGCGTTCGTCGACGGTGCAGATCACCGATGGGGTTGGTCGGGTGCCACAACTCAAACCGCGGGATGGGAGATGTGGCACTGTACATGCTATGCTTAGCCTATGCGTAATACACGGGCTGCAGATCTGAATGTTTGGTTGTGAGAATTTGTGCATTGGTCCGTTGGCCCCTGCGGTCCGATGCTGCATGCTTATTTGTAGACATCATTGATTGCAAGATGGCACAAAGACCATCGACCTGATTAGACATGCTCAACAGAAGCAAATTTGGCCAAGAAGATGGTGTGCTCATGCAAATATGGGAGTTTTCTTTAGTTTTGAAAATGTGTGCATGTAGTATATAAAATGATAACGATCAAAGAGGGACGCATCAGCAACGGGGACAAAAAGTGTTCCATGTTCTAACAAAGTTAACTGGACCAAAACCAAAGGTAATAAAATGTACTCCATCCAATACATGTCCCAAAAACCCAATATGCGCAGCGGAATAGACAAAAAAGAAAGCGGAAGAACAGAGCCGAGGTCAAGTGTAAAGGAAAGATGATAAAGGGGCGTGTGTATTTGTCTGTAAAGAATGTTGGTTCCGAGGTCGTGAAATCTTTCCTCTTGTCCTCCAAGACGTCAGAGGTTGGTGATGATAAATAAAGTTGGCAAGACGGCTGCGCGAATGAGAAAATGGCCTGGATATCAAACAAGTAGGCTTCTTTTCAATTCATTAGCGAGTCGCCAGGGAATCGAAAATTGAAAACAGCGGCAATTCAAAAACGAGCGATGTAGCGTGCAGCTACAAATCTGCTCATAATAAAATGAGATAGTTGCTGGGTGCGATGCCAGTCTCGCCGCTTTCTTTGCGTGCTTGCCACCAGCGACCGCTGACGTCGGAGACTTCGAGAATTTCGTGCTTGGAAAAGGAGATTTCGTTGGCGTCATCGGGGTTGGCCTCGTAGCTGTAGATGGCCTTGGCCTTGTAGGGATACTCTGTGGGCGGGACGACCTCGATGTCGTGGGCGGGCTTGCTGACCTGGGGTGTCGGGCCGGGCTGCTGAAGGGCCTGCTGGGGGCTGCTTGTGCCAAAGTTGGAGGCTCGGGCGCCGGTCATGGTGTTTCCGAGAGGCGTGGAGTTCTCAAAGCCGCTGAGCTGGGCCGAGGTGTACATCTGAGGCGGCTGGACCGAGTTGGACGTCTCGGGGCGGCCGGATGCGCCGTAGCCTGTCATGGGCTGCCGAGGCATGGGGCTGGTGGACTCTTTGGACAGGGCAAAAGAGTCGAGGAAGGCGCGGGGGGTGGAGGATGGCGCAGAGCCAAAGTAGAAGATCCAGACAATGTTGAGCATGGAGAGCAGGATGAAGCCGGCTCCGGCGGCCTGACGGGCGCCAATGTTGGAGTAGACGAGGTTGTTGACGCTGGAGCTGGAGAGAACGAGGCCGGCGGCAAGGTAGCTGCTGAGGGCAACGTGGTAGGTCTGGATGGCGTCGGAGGCGACGACGACAAAAACGCCAATGTTGAGGAAGAGGGCATATACGACGGCCCACCAGGAGAATTTAGGAAAGCTTTGTCCGCCTTGAATCTGGGCGACAACGCACGCTACGAAGCAGATGAACCAGGCGAGCTAGGAAACGTATTAGTGAAGGGGTTGGGAGGACAAAGTCGGCGTATATCGAGGGAGTGGGCGCGTACCATGCCGACAGAGAGAGTCGCGAGGGCAAAGGGGTCACCGATGATGTTGCCCATCTTGAGGCCGCGGCGGCCATAGTGTCGCGAATGCTCCATTTTCTTGATTGACGGGGAGTATTGCGAGGCGTAATTCTGCATAGAGACTTATTATTGCCGAAGAGGCGACTGCGAGGGCGCGGCGAGTCGGGAAAAAAAGTGCTCCAAGTCGGATGAGGTGTGTGCGTGGCCGGTTATCGTCGTCGCGGTGATGTTGTTGAGAGCTGAGCAACGGCAGAGACTTTGCTGGTTATCCTGCGCTCCAATCACGTTCGCGACGCGGTAATAATGACGACTGACGATCTACGTAGTCGACAGAACGGGGCGTAGATGGTAGTGTCGCGAAAAGCAAGATTGGGGGTCAACAGGAAAATTAAGTCGTTGCGTGCTGTCAGGTCTCGGCGCAGCCGTTTCAGGATAGGGAACAGAGTCTGGGGGACGTGACAAGGAAGCGTGAGAGCCGAGAGAAAGGGGGGGGGACGAAGAAGAGAAGATAAAAGAGTGACGGTAGCAGTCGTTAGACGGCAGAAAAAAAAAAGAAGAAGAAAAAGGAAAAGAGCCCGAATCAGGACAAATGCGAAGAAAAAAGAAGGGTCAAGCCGCGATGGTTTGGTGTTGTTGAACAAGAAAGATTTGCAAGAGGAATGGGGGGAGGCAGTGAGCAATCTTGGGGTTGCGCGAGGCTTTGCGAGGCTTGGTGTGGGCGCAGCAGTGGGTTACTGGTAGGTACCTAGGTAGGTAGGTTAGGTAGTGTGGCGTGGTTGCAGGTACGGGCGGCAGAGATTAGGTACAGGCTATGCAGTAAAAGTGTGGTTTGTCTGTGTTGGAAAGCAGAGACGAGGCGACCAGAAAGAAAGAACAGATACAAAGTGGCCAAAGACAGAGACGCGAACAATCTTTGCTCGAACTCTCCTGTTGCCGTTCCCTTTTTTTGTCTTAGTTTGGCGAGTTCCTGTAACTCGAATACTACCGGAGCGCCGGCAACCTGGCAAGGCCGAAAAGGAAGCCAGGGGTCGTGCGTATTTCTCTCGCGCCAGGGAAAAAAAAAAAAAGCCAAGGCTCACTCACACAGTGTCCGTCAGCACTCTTGCACCCAAGGAAACTGGCAACGAGAGCCGTTGCGAAACCTTGTGTGGCGTGTCTATATCGCAACGTGATGGAGGCGTCCAAGTGGAGAAGAACTGTGGGCTTGCCAATCCAGGAACAGAAGTGGGATGAGCGAGTCTTTGATATGTTCTCTTTTGCTTTTGTGTTCAATGCTTGCAGCGTCCCTCCCGTTTTCTCACCTGAACCGAATCTGTCAAGACTGGTTGATTGGCGCCTTGGCCGTCAGAAGATGCAGCCAGCGTAGCACGGCGCCCAGTGTCGATAGGTCCCGGTGTGGCAAGATTTTAGCGTCGTGGCCAAAAAAAAACCAGGGCGGGGCTGAAGGTTGGCGGCGGGAAGAACAAGAGGAAGGGGCCCCTGAGCTGAAGCAAAGACAAAGGACACTGAGAAAGGTTTGATAGACTTGTCCACGCGTCTATGTCGAATCGTTTCCTATATCGCGATTCGTGTCTCGGTTCTATCGATTTCTTTAATGTCTTGTTTTGTCGTGCAGATCGAATCGATTGCGGGTGCGGATTGACAGGAATAGGGGGGGGTTTTGGCGGAGGATAAAGAGAGGCTTGAAGCGGTGGGGATTTGGGCGCAGGTACTCCGTATAGCGTCAGGCCTTTCGTACCTGGAGTTGGTGGTGGGGGGGAGAGGGGGGTGTGCGCAAATGCTAAAAGCCGAGTGCTTAAAAGCTGCAGGAGGAAGTGGTCTGTTGAAAAAGATGCCGCGTGTCCTGATTCAAGTACTGTGTATTTAGAATTTCAGATGCAGAAGCATGATGACTCGCGAAAGAAAGGAGAAAAATAAGTCGGCATAATATAAACAAGGTAAAGAGGAAAAGGCAGAAAAAACTAGTTTAAACTCTTTTTCTCTTGTCTTCTTCCTCGGCGATTCTTCAGCGTGTCGATGCCCGCCTCTCGCTGTCTCGGTGCTCTGCGTTGAGGAATGGGGTTTGCACTACCACGTTGCAGGCCCCTTGCAGCTGTAGCTCACTGCCGAAGGTACGCTAAAAGACGCTGCGGCCACAAAACCTGTCGACTTTCATGTCATTCATGTTAAAGCGTGGCCTCTTGCTGGAATGTCGTTTTTCTCAAGGCACGCGATGCCAGCCACTCATTCTAGTTATGCGAATGCATTGATAACTAGTCATGTGTCAAAGAGGGTTATGAAAAATTTTCAGGATTTTTTCCGCGTTTAGATTTTTTCTTGTCGTCTTTCGAATTACAGAGAAAGACATGTTGGTAGTCAATACCTGCTCTTGTGCCCACCACTGACCTCTGCATGACGCATGTTAAAATCATCACCATAGCACACATGCACCAATACAAGAGCAAAAGAGAGGTCAGTAGCATCGTTCACCAGTATGTATCCCTTCATATGTCCAGTATGCATATGTTCAGTATGCACCTCTACATATATTAATTTTTTTTTTTTTTCTGATTTTCACTCATCGCCAACTCGCAGCTCATCTCAACCACATGCATAATTGCCCTTGGCCCCATAATCAACCAACTCTTCGCCCACCTCAGCCGTTTCACAATTCACAACGTCTCCTGCATTGAGCCTCGCCCATTCGTCCAGCCATTTATTGTTTAATTATTTAATCAACATATCCATGCAGCTTTCCCACAGCGTTCTTTTCTTTTCTCTTCTTTCCAGCGACATTATAACAGCGACGAAAAAAAACTGCCTTGTTCCGTTTGTTGTTCCCGCCCCTCACCACCCCCTCCCAAAAAGAACCTCACCCCCAGTTCCCCGGATGATTACCGCCCGACCTGCATACCTCAGGTGTTTCACCACGACCAAACCAAACACTCGCACCTTTTTAAATCCTCTTTCCTTTTCAGCCAGTCAGTTGCTTCTGAAAACGGCTCGGCCGGTAGCACCACATTCATTGGATGCAATGAAATCTTTTCGGTCAAATCTGCTTGCCCGTGCTGTGCCCACCTTGCTTTCCATCCCCATAACTCGCCGACCAGAGAAATTGTAGCCAATTTTTTCGCGCTTCTCATCCCTCCTCGTCGTGCCGCGACGCCATCTGTTACAGCTGCAAGATACCGCTCTACCCCCCGGTTTGAGGGGAGGGTGGCAAGAGAAGCGCCGTGGTAACTCGTTGCCTCTGACTGCCGCCCACCCTCTCCAGTGAACTGATCCGCTGCGGACTGCTGTCTAGAATGGTCTGTAGGAAAAAAAGTACGTGACCAGCACAGACTGATCTGTCGTTAGCGTCCCCCAGCACACTGGCTCTTGGATACTTGCCGTCTCTGTGCACTTGTCTGTCAGCATCCTCGACGTCTGTGCGGGCCATAGACCGTCCGAAACTCGACGACCTAACTACGTACATACCACTACAATGCCGCATTCCTCTCCCTTTCTTATCTTTCGGCTGAATGCTAAACTCCGGCGTCAGACGGACATGGGCTGTTTATATCTGGGTCTAGTTTCCTCACTGAGCAAAGCGTCGTTGCAGTCGTCTCCAAGTTGATCCTAACCAGGCGTGACGAGGTGATCGGATACAGCCTCGACTGCATTAGAGGCTTCCGCTTGACTGGTAATCGAGATCGTAAGGCGTAAGAGGCGTCCATCACTTACAGCGGAACCACCTGTCAGGATCTTTCCGTGCCTCATCAATCAGAAACCGGCCTACGGCCATGCCGGTACGCCCTAAGCAGGCAAGCTCTCGTCGCAGGATGTCACATAATCCACCAGACCGCATTCTACCAGTGAACAAGCAAGATGAAAAGAAAAACCCGTCGCAGCACATTTTTTCAATTTTCGGTGCCACAGCTCCGTCATCCATTGTGCCGGTCACCGAATGTCCGCTATTCCCGCGTGTGCCATGCTTTCTGAGACGCACAGAGGCGGACATGACCATTGACATGCTGTTTCGCATCCTGCTGGCAACATGAAAGAGGCAACCAAAAAAAAAGTCAAAATCATACCATGACATGCGAAAAAAAGCAGACCTCTATCAAAAGAAAATTCATCATCTACGTAAATGCAACGAGCCAGAGGCCCTGCCCAGCAGCTTGGCGCCATGCAGAATCCGGCTCGTTTGAAGGGTATCATTATATTCAGGAGCGCATCACCAACCTCTCAGATGCACCATCTTTCGTAGCTTTTTCTCGTCCGTTACTTCCGCCATCCTTGCAATTTCTGTTCCGCTGATGCGGCGGCATGCCATGCAGTAAGACTGAGCCGCACAACAGCGACGACTCTGCCGCGCTATCAGTCTCGAGGACTGCCCTGTACCAAAGCAGATGCATCTTCATCCAGTCTCCTTGGACAAGGCCGCACGCGCAGTCCCTGGCCCGGTCTGTGGCCGCTCGTCTGTCTTGGCCCTCCTTCACCCCCCCACCCCCCTCTCCCGCCTCAAATCTGCTTTTCCATCTCCCTTGCCCGCTCCATCTGCCTCACCCGCCGCTCGACCCTGCCCACGCGCGCCTCCGCACTCGCCGTTGCAGCCGACGCCGGCAGCAGCCCGCCCTCGT